CAGACAGACAGGCAGATAGAGAGACAGACAGACAGATAGACAGACAGAGAAACAGACAGACAGACAGACAGACAGACAGACAGACAGACAGACAGAGACACACAGAAAGAAAGACAGAGAGAGAGAGAGAGAGAGAGAGAGAGAGAGAGAGAGAGAGAGAGAGAACGAGTGAAAGATATTTTATAAGAAAGATAAAGAGAGAAGGATAGAGTCACATCTTGAAAAGAGAGAAGGAGAGGGGGAGGGAGAGAAAGGGGGGGGGAGAGAAAGATAGATAGAGAGAGAGATAGAGAGAGAGAGAGGGAGAGCGAGAGAGAGCGAGAGAGATAGACCTTGGGATGAAGGTAGCTGAAGAATGAAACAGCATTATGGTAACTGGTAAATTTAACCAAATACCCCACAATTTATCTCTACTGAATACTGATCACCGAAAGCCAAATGATCTCTTGAATTTTCGCCCGATCTCCTCCATCAATCTTCCACCACTAAACCTGTTTCCAGCCCTGGGTTTACAACGTTTTTATCGGACTAAACAGGAGCGAGGTTGTCAGGTCAATGAAGAATAATAGATGCCCCATTTAATGAAGATCCTAGACGAGCCTACCTAGACAAGGCTGGATTACCAGTTAAGGTTTGACGAATAATTCCACCCGAACGCCGTTGTAACAGAGGTATGTTACTCTGTAAAACATATACTCTTTTGCACTTATTATTTGCCTTAATCGCATTGCATATGCCGTAACACTCTAACTAAAATTGAAAACTAAAAGTATTTTACCCTGTTGTAAAACATTTAATCTTCCTCATTTATTTGACCATATGCCGTAAATCTCTTACTTTCACTAAAAACTTAAAGTACAGGTGAGCAAGAGGGAAAGTAGAAAACAATGGATAACAGGCAGGCAGGCATACACTAGAAGAATGCGTCTTACCACAAAGTCAGGGAGGCAGTTAATAAGGCAATTTCGTAAGACAGTAAATATTGAGGTTATTATGGAGGTATTTATTAAAGCCGTGAATCTGGCTTAAAATCAAGAGGAAGACTATGAAAGACCTGGCTGGATGGGGTTAAAAAGGTTCTGGAACAACAAGCCATAATATCTATCACAGACGTCACAAAATTAGCACAAGACCGAAGCCTGAACCTCCCCTCGACATCCTAAGGATACCAGAGAAATTGAAAAAGTAAAAAGTGAAATTATGTATTCAGGTTGATAGGTAGATAGGTAAATAGAAAGAGACATGAATATATAGGTTGGTATGTAGCGATGACGGTATGTAATTTTATAGGTAGGTAGGTAGGTAGGTAGGTAGGTAGGTAGGTAGGTAGGTAGGTAGGTAGACAGGCAGGTAAGTAAGCAGGCAGGATGGTTGGGAGGCAGGATAGTAGGTAGGTAGGTAGGTAGGTAGGTAGGTAGGTAGGTAGGTAGG